TCGAGCAAGTTGTTTACCCGATTTAGTACATTGTTGACAATATACAGATCATATGTACATAGGATTGTTTGAATAATTTTGGCCTTGTAAGAACCGTTGCCACAGTCATAGCGCATATCGTTTATTTCAGGNTGTACATAGGATTGTTTGAATAATTTTGGCCTTGTAAGAACCGTTGCCACAGTCATAGCGCATATCGTTTATTTCAGGCACATTAAAATCACCCAAGATGAACAGATTCTCTGAATACAGCTCATTAATGACTCCCAAGGAATCTAAAAACGTTTCATACACTGTTAGATTAGAGTCGGGTTTAATATAAACACAACAAATTGTCGCTGTAAAATCATTAGTCGTCAGTTTAATGGCTATCCACTGAAATTAATAATTATATATTAATATTAAATATTCCCTATACCTAGGAGTTATAAAATTTGAGATATTAATATTTAAAGAAAAAATTTGATGCAAGGGCCCGCGGAACTGCTAGTAACTCTTTTCATGAGCGTGATATCAAGTGGATTTTTGGTACCTGTAAAGGGCATAGGTAACACTAAGTTATGGTATACCAACATGTAAAACATTTAATGCTAGGTGTTTCATTTTTGCTGTTACCTTTTGATAAGTTCAAACAGCTATAACTTTGTTAACTTAAATGGAACACCCTGAATTTTTTTACTCTATCGAATGCAGATTGAAATTTCCTTTCAAGCCATATTTGAAAGTATAAATTACTCAATTAAATTATTTAAATAGTTTTCTATTGATAATAATACGTTTGAGTGCCACCCTTATCATTTCTACTACAATTGCGTGATTGACCGAGCTGTCAGGGGAGGGGAAGGGACCTCTTGGGACGATTACAAAGATAGAACTTAGGCGCAGCAAGAGATCTGACTGGAAGGCATACTGCAATGAGCTGGAGTCCCTGCCGAAGACAGCCAGATTAATGAAGATCTTAAGCTGTGATAAAAGGGAGAAATTAGAATCGCTAAACAGGGAAAATGAGAGTTGGACCACTTACAAAGAGGAGTGTTTAGAACTTCTGCTGGAAACTGACTTTGCAGGTGGAGGCCATGTTGTCGAGGGTACCAGGGCGGAGCCAATGCTGCAAGCAGATTGGCTCCTGGCTGAGAAGCTCATTGGCGATGAGCAACCTGGGCAGTGAATGAGTTCGAACCCTACAAGGCAGTGAGGCCAGATGGAGTCTTCCCGTCGTTATAGTAGAGGGGCCTGGATATTCTCTCTTGCCATGCATGGTGAGGGTCTTCCAGGTCAGTCTGGCGATGTGCTACATCCCACAAGCTTGGAGGTCAGCCAGGTGGTCTTTATTCCCAAGGTTGGGAAAGAAGACTACACTGCGGCGAAGTCTTTTAGGCCTACCAGTTTCACATCCTTTCTGTTTAAAACAATGGGAAGGATTGTGGACAGGTATCTGGTGGATGGGGCGTTGAGTAGATACCCAATCCACATGAACCAGTACGCATACAGGCGGGGCAGGTCCACAGAGACGGCCTTACATAGTATGACACACAAAGTAGAGAAGGCCCTTCAGTACAAAGAGGCCGCACTGGCCATAATTCTTTGATATAGAAGATGCCTTTGATAAGGCAAAATACCTGGGGGTAACCCTGGATAGTAAACTGTCATGGGGGCCATAGGTTGAAAGGATTACCCGGAAATCAGTGGCAACCCTCTGGCAGTTAAGGAAGGTAGTTGACAAAAATTGGGGACTTAATCCAAGGGTGCTTCACTGGGTGAACAAGGCGCGCGGCGATGGTCAGACCGAGGGTGCAGTATGGGGCCTTGGTCTGGTGGCCGAGTGTGGACCTGGTGACGATAGCCAGGAAGTTATCGAGAATCTAAAGACTTGCCTGCTTAGGTATTACAGGGGCAATGAGGACGACCCTAACGGCTGCGTTAGAGGTCCTTCTGGGGTTGCCGACCCTCCCTACATGAATTGTAAGAGAGGCGATGGCAATATACCTTAGGATAAGGGACGCAGGCTGTTGGAGAGCAAAAGGACGCACTGAGAGCCATGCTGTTGTGGCCCTCAGGGTGGAGAGGGATATCCCAATATCCGCTATGAGGGTCACGGAAGCAGAGGACCGGCTTAGGTTAGGAAGTATGTCACCACTTTCTCCTCAAGAGAGTTGTGGAAGCAGGAAGGTGATATGTTCCCCCGGGATCCCTAGTATAATATACAGATGGATCTAGGGTAGGAGACAAGTTTTCAGGAGCAGGAATTTATCTGGAAGACAGTGGTATCCAGGAAAGCTTTTCATTGGGTATGTTCGCCACAGTCTTCCAGGCCGAGGTTTTTGCTATTTTGATGGTAGCAAGCAAGGAGGAGGTAAGGAATTGTGTAGAGAAGATTTTTATCTGCTTCGAAAGTCAGGCCGCACTCAGAGCTGTTAGCTCCCCGAGGACAAGGTCTGCGCTTTAGCGTCATTGGCCAGACGAAGAGAGGTAGAGTCGGTTTGGGTCTATTTCATGACAAACCCGGAGATATGACCCGTTTGTATAATTGACGCCTAAAAAAAAAGGCTCTGCAATTGCAATCGGACAAATCGATGTCTAATAACAAAAAAAAAAAAAGGATTACGATTTTCCCGCAACAAACAAAACCCGAAGACTTCGGGTCAAACCCGGAGATCTGGCGAGCCTAGTCCCAGGCCATATGGGTATCCCTAGTAACGAGAAAGCTGATCAATTAGCTCGTCTCGGATCTAGGAGACCTGGCCAGGGACCTGAACCAATCCTAGGAATCACACGAGGTAGCATTAATAAATGGGCCTCTCAAACTTTAGGTCAGAACTGGAAGAGAAATAGAGGATGTAGGCAGGACCATATACATGGACCTAACAAACCTAAGACGAGATGGCTGCTGAGCCTTAGTCGAAGAGCCCTAACCCTGGGGGTTCTGACAGAGTGGATAGGTGATGGGATGGCGGGATAGGCCCCATTTCACTACTAGTACTACTACTACAAAGGTTGCCGTTACTACTTTTAGAAATATTTACAATTTTCTTTTTTTTTTTTGGACAATTTTTCTCGTATCAAAAATGTTGTCAAATTGGCCATGACCAGAAACACTACAAAACAATTAAAATAACTTGACATTTGTTCAGTTAGTTGTCAAATTATTGTTATGTCTGTAATAGTTTTTGCGGGACATTTAAATAAAAATGCCTGGAGATTGTTTAAAGTATAGATACTTATTAGGATTATTTTAATTTGTATGTTATTTATGGAAGAAATCAGCAGATTCTCTGCATGTTCTTAAAATTACTTTGTCACATTTTCCATAAATAACAAACAAATTAAAATAATCCTCATTAGTATAATTTAAACAATCCTCAGGCATTTTTATTTAAATTTTCGGCAAAAACTATTCCGACACAACAATAATTTGACAACTAATTTGACAAAAAATGTCATGTTATTTCAATTGTTTTTGGAGTGTTTCTGATCATGGTCAATTTGACAGCAGGCCTGACGAGAAGAACTGTCCAAAAAATAGAAAATTGCAAATATCTCTAAAAGTAATAACGGCAACCATAACAATGATTATATGGCTTGAAAGGAAATTTCAATCTGCATACGACAGAGTTAAAAAATACAGGGTGTTTCATTTAAGTTATCAAAGTTATAGCTGTTTAAAGTTATCAAAATGTAACGGCAAAAATTAAACACCTAGTATTACATATTTTAATTTGTAGGTACACCATAATGTAATGTTACCTATGCTCTTTACAGGTACCAAATATCCGCTTGATATCACGCTACTGAAAAGAGTTACTAACATCTCCGCGAACCCTTGTATCTGTCAAATTTTTTCTTTGAAAATTAATATCTCAAAATCTATAACTCCTAGGTATAGGAAATATTTAATAAAGTGACCCTCAAATTTTACGTAGAATACGAAAATGTAATAATATATAGGGTGCTCTAGTTAAAATAACGAAATTGGTGTCAACTTCCGGTATAACTGGAAGTGCTGGAAAGTTCTATATATTTTAGTGAGGGACATTGCCATGTTGCCAAATTTTTTAATTTTTCGGAGCAGTACTTTCCTAGATATCGATTGACGCAGTTCCCGGTGGGACACCCTGTATAGGTTTGACTTAACGGGTAGCACCACTCTAGAGGTTGGAAAAAAATGAAATTTTCGGGAACTTTCAATACAAGATATAGCGTCAGGAACAAAATGGTTTTATTGTAGATGTTTTTAGGTAGTATTGAAAATTGTTTCAAATGATTTGAATTCGAAATGACGGCTATAGGTGACAGCAAGTAATGATACCTATTTTTCAGAGGGCTGTATGGCCGGAAAGGTTTCTTATTAACAGATGGTCTTGGAGCAAAAAAAACAAACATTTTCTAATATTATATACTAAATGCTAGGGAACATCGTAGGGAAATTAAAAAATATTAATAATTGCTGATTTAGTAAACATTCAAAAGTATTGAAAAAAGACAAAAAATTTTGCATTAAATTGCTAATAACAATGAAAACTGTTACTGTTACTGAGTTATGTTATTATGAAACTATACAAAATTTCAAGTCGGTTTGTTGAAAACGTTTTGAGTTGTTTCTGGAATAGTTATAAAAAGATGGTTTCTCCAAAAAATGTTTTAGTCTTTGTCGACATTAAATATAAGAAATTCGTTAAATGTATACCATCAATCAGGGATGCCTGCACCATATAATTGGCCTTCTGTATTGACATTTTCTTCATTCTCTTAATTTTGGCTTTATCTGAGGCTCAATCTGGCCTCTATAATAGCTAACTATCGCGCGCATTATTACAAGTTACAATAAGCACTCCTAGAGCTCGATGCAAGTGGTTGCGCTCTACCTCGATCCCATTTTTCCCCCACCTAAAACTTTTTACCTATATTCTTCACATTAATAAACCATTGTTTAAACCATTTATCCAAAAATCGATTTTTTTCAAAATTTTAGAGTGGCGTTACCCCTTAAGTATTATACTTACAGAATTAGATGCCTAAGAGTTTTTAAATCGGCTAACAATTGACAACTTTTTGCACTTAGTTGATGCCATACTACATCTAACTGAGCTTGTAATATTTTATGAAATTTTTTAGTTAAACAGTTTTCAACTGATATCTCCTAAAAAAAAATGTGTAGGTACATTATTTATGAATTTACTAATTTGTTGATTTGTTGTTTACAACAATTTAAAGGAAACAAGTAGTAATTAAATTATTTAGTGTTTTACTTGAAATTTTGAAAATACAGCTTTACAATTATTGCTTTACATTTTATGAAAATGTTTTTCAGCTGAGTATTAAGCATTTTTGTCTTTGTATATTTTATAGTAGGTATTACGAGTTTAAATTTTTTACTGTAGTGAAGCGTTATACCTACTAGTAGTTTAGAGAAAATCTTAGGACATTGACACATTTAGTTTACCTGCAACTCAAGTCCATTATTTATGCGCTTTAATTCTTTCACAGTTAAATTCATTAGATCCAGTATATGTGTTTGTATTTTTTTCATTTTTTCTGAAATAGGTACGTGCAACTCCACAACTTGTGGCTAAAAGTGAAATACATAACATTAAGAGTTTTAAAATATATGAAAGGATACTCACTGCATGTCTCTTAAAATTCTCTATTACTAAGGAATGAAATCTTGGCCAGATATATAATTCTTTAATAAATAATGTTCGCATAACTCTTTCAACATGGCCAAAGCCAATGATAAAACTTTGAGCACTGTTAGAAAAAGCTTTAATAAATCCAGTCTAAAAGAAACATTTTTTAAGAATACATACTATTTTTGTTAATCTACAATTCACCTTATTGTTTTGCCTGTATAATCTTAAAACAAATGCTTCTTGGCAGCTTTCAAAAATTGTATGTGCTCTTAAAATTATAAATCCTGTAATCTTATCAATTGGTACACGTTTTTTTAACATATCCACTACTAAAATCCTGGTCGTTACAAAATGTATCCCTCCTGATAAATATATATCTTCTCTGAAATAATAACAATAAAAACGATGAAAATAAAATGTTTAATATAAAACCTTTCTGTAGTGCTTGTAGAACATGTTGTGCCATAAATATTTGGGTCACTTAATTTATTACGATAATATTTTTCCTCTTGTTCTGTTGCGTTTAAGACTATGACCAAATTTCCAACATCACAGTACACTTTAAGTATGTTAAAAATGACTAGATTCAAATGCAAACCTCTAAAATGTGAAACAGTAAAAAATTATACTGTAATTATGTCTATACACTTACTTAGCAGCAATTACCAAACCATCAGTGTGAACTATATCTAGAAATATTTGTGTTTCAAATTCCAACATGCATTGTAAATCAGCTTTCCTTAATAAATTATCGGTTTCACTATTTGTCATTTTCAATAAGAAATTAAAAAATTTAAAAAATTGTATATTCAATGCATATATTTAATACTACCATTGATTTTTAATTTTTATATAGGATGGTATCATCATAGAAAATTTAGTACTAAATTTTCTATGGGCTATGGGTATCATAGATCTAAAAATAGGCACAGCAAATGCAAAATAAATATGCTGTAATATATGTATTACTTTGTTTTGAGAAGAGTAGAAGAGAAGCGGTAGTAGAGTACTTAGTAGTCTCAGTACTGTCACAGAGTATTCACATTGCGCGCGCCATTATTCCATGGCTAGAAATTGGCCTCAATGATTTGGGATCGAGGGGGATTATCCCTCTTTATCCTGCCTCATCTCGTGT